TATAGTCTAGGACATCTTCAGGTGGGTAGTTACCGTTATAGGAGTCTTATGGAACTCCCCACCGGTAGTTTCCGTTAAATAAGGTTTAGGGTTTAGGGTTTAGGGAACCTAAAGCCTGAACCCCGACCCAAACACCCTAACACCTATAGGGTTTAGGGCTTACAAGGGTTTAAGGTTTAGGGTGTCGGGGCTTTGGGTTTAGGGTTCAGGGCTTAGGGTTCAGGGTTAAGGGTTTAGGGTTTAGGTAGACCCAAACACCCCCACACCCTAAGCCGGTGGAGGATCGCTGGTACTGCCTGACGATGTGGTGTTTCGACCAGCTCGCGCTCAGCAATTTTGTTCCTCAGGCCTCTGACTTCGGAGTGCAAAGGGCGCAGGCTGTAAAGATCTGCTATCATGATGCTGATGTCGATGGTGATGATTATGATGACCATTATTATGATGATGATGGTGATGATGATGTTGATGATGATGAGGACGATGATGGTTGTGGTGGTGCTGATGGCGATTGTGATGCCCACGGTGATGGTAGTGGTAGTCGTGGTGATGTTGACCATGGTGATGCGGATGTTGATGGTGATAACAATGATGAGGAAGCTGACGAATGAGGGGGGGAGGAAGAGATGATGGTTATTGCCACAAACAAGGTGAGGCTGGTTCTTTAGGAGTTCCTGTTGTGGGCGCATAGCGGTAGGATTTCTGGCGCGAGTTTCAGCATAGGGTGAAGCGAACACGGTTTAGGGTGTTTAGGGGTTTAGGATTTTGTGCTTATTGTTCGGGGATGTGGGGTTAAGGTGTATATGGTTGAAGCTCAATTGTCTAGGGGGTTGAGGCTTTCAGGTTTGAGACGGCGCTGGTCTTAGACGCTATGGAACCAAGCATACTCGGATCATGGAGCAACATCGCGAGCCTTGTGCGACGCCATGTGTTTTAATCCAGATTATTTTTTTTACATCTGTCTCGATTGTCCCAGAGGAAGTCCAAACAAAATCCTGGACCCATTCAGCCTTAAATCGACTGGCCCGGTTCATGGGTACTTTACAACCCAATCTTACCATAAGATATCTATACCCATGCACCTTCAAGCATACCTGATCTGCACTTGACCCTAAACCCTAAACCC